TGAGAAGCAGCAGGATAGTCAGGCTGAAGAAGTGATGGATGTGCTAGAGATGGTAGAGAATGTCAAAAATGTAACTGCTGAGCAGGAGGTAATGGAAACTAATCAAGCTGAAAGTATGGAGCCTTCAGAAAATGAAACTAGCAAGGAATTGGAGCCAGAGATGGAATTTGAAGTTGAGCCAGATAAAGAATGTAAATCTCTTTCTCCTGGAAAAGAGAATGTTAGTGCTGTAGAAATGGAAAAGGAGTCTGAGGAAAAAGAAGGAAAAGAACCTGAGCCTCAACTTGAGCCTGTGGCTCAGCCTCAGCCCCTGCCTCAGTCCCAGTCCCAGCCCCCGCCCCAGCTGCAACCCCCGCCAGTACCCCAGCCCCAGCCCATCCCTCAACCTGAGACTGTGCCATCAGCTGTTGTACAGCCAGCACCTCAGGTCATTCGGGATCAAGGAAACTTAGTACCTGAGTGCAGAGAGTTTCCTGTAGAATCTGTGAAACTCACTGAGGTGCCAGTAGAGCCAGTCTTAACCATACTTTCAGAAAGTAAAAGCAAAACAAAAACTCGGAGCAGAAGCAGAGGTCGTGCTAGAAATAAAACAAGCAAGAGTAGAAGTCGAAGCAGTAGCAGTAGCAGTAGCAGTAGTAGTTCTAGTAGTAGTTCAACTAGCAGTAGCAGTGGGAGCAGTTCCTGCAGTGGCAGCAGCAGTAGTCGTAGCAGTTCCAGCAGCAGCTCCAGCATGACTGGGAGCAGCAGCAGAGATACTAGTAGTAGTGACAGTAGAAGTCGGAGCAGAGGCCGGGGACATAATAGAGATAGGAAGCACAGAAGGAGCGTGGATCGGAAGCGGAGGGATACTTCAGGACTAGAAAGAAGTCACAAATCTTCCAAAGGTGGGAGTAGTAGGGATGCAAAAGGATCAAAGGATAAGAATTCCCGCTCTGACAGAAAGAGGTCTATATCAGAGAGTAGTCGATCAGGCAAAAGATCTTCAAGAAGTGAAAGAGACCGAAAATCAGACAGGAAAGACAAAAGGTGTTAATGGAAGAATCCAGGCTTTCTTAGCCTATTCGCAGCAGAAGATTTGATGAGTAAAAGGATTACCTTTCCTTGTAAGGAGGATGCTGCCTTAAGAAATGCATGTTGTAAAAAATCTTTTTGGAAAATACAGCCTGTTTGTTTACCAGACATTCTTGTACTTTTTGCATAATTTTGTAAGAGTTATTTATCAAAATTATGTGAGGTTCCAAAATATGTATAAATAATAATAAAAAAGAAAAAAAAAGAATCTCTGCAAATAAAACTCTTAAGTTTATGTATTCCTGCAGCTCTTGTGACACCATTATTAATTGAGCATCAGAGTGGTTGAAATAAGAGGGCAGGCTAAGTAGCTCAGTGGATCAGAGCGCCTGCAAACAGGTGCAGGAGCTGGGGGGGTGATGGGAGTGGGGTGGGGGTTGATCCCTGGACCTGGTGCTGAGATGGCAATTGACTGGGCATGATGGCATGAGCCTGTAATCCCAGTACTTGGGAGGCTGCAAACAGGCAGATCACTAGAGTCTGATCTAGTAGTGAGACCCTGAATACCCTGTAGACCCTTCCCCCTTCAAAAGGGGGGGGCTTGAAATAAAGGAAGACTGCTAATGAAACAAATGGACACGCCCTCCTCTTTTATTTCCTGTTCCTCAAGTGTCTTTTATTTCCTATTCCTCAAGTGTTTTGTTTTTTTTTTAAAGAAACTAATAAAAAAGAAACTAATTAATGAAATTTAAATATCCTAGAACTAAAAAGGGACATAACAGTCTAAATCTCAAATATATCTAGATTTAATGAGGGAGTGCTGCCTGGCATGTCTGAGGCCCAGTTTAATCCCCAGTACCACCAAAATAGATGCAGGAATTAAATAAAAAAAGCTAAAATCAACTGTGGAAAAGTAGTAAAGCGCACAATACTTAATGCTCTAAATGAATCTGACAGATTTTCACATCTGTAAGCCATCTTGATGTTAGTAATCTAAGAAAAGGAAAGACTGTGCTCATTTCAGCAGTACATATGCTAAGATGAGGAAAGATTTTACAAATGAAAAGAGTTTCAAGATGGGCATGAAGGGCCAACTAGATAGCTCTGTAGACTAAAGCATCTGCTTAGGCAGAAGCACGGGTGGTGCACTGAGACAGTGATTGAGACTGGGCGTGGTGGTGATTAAGACTACGCGTGATGATGCATTTGTAATCCCAGCACTTGGAAGCTGAAAAACAGGGAGGATCTCTATGTGTCTGATCTGTGTAATGAGACCCTGTAGACCCTGTACTAAACACATTAAAAAAAAAAAAAAAAAAAGAAAGAAAGAAAGATGGGCATGATACCATGTGCCTATAGTCTCAGCTCCTCCGGAGGCTGAGGCAGGAAAATCACTTGAGCCCTTATTCAAGGCCTCCTGGGTAATGCAGTGATATTTCATCCAAAAAAAAAAAAGACAAAAAACATAATATGCCAAATGTAAAACAGGAATAGTAATAACAGATGAAATATTACCCAACAAAAATTAGTGACATTTAAAAAGTTATCCCATAACTCTAATCAAAAGAATGAAATAGATTACTAAGATGAATGGAAAAAACTGTAAGAAGATTTAGATCAATCTCACCAATAATACAAGTTGGAGAAAGAAAAGATACTGCCTGCATTCTTGGACAAACTTATTTGTCATCTTTAAGGGTACAATAGTAAACAAGGCAGATGTGGAATACAGTTGTTAAAATTTAGTCTACAAAGTATGATGCTCAAGTAACAACTAAAGAAAAAAATGAAGAAAAGCATAAAAGAGAGAGCTGGAAAAAAATGTACACATTTTGTGCTTTAGCCAGATGTAGAAGACAAAAGATTTTCGGAAATTTCAAACTTTTTTTTTTAAATTATTTATTTATTTATTTTTGTGTGTGTGTGGCCAGCTCAGCCCACCAGGGGGCGGGGCTGGCTGGCATGTGGTGCTGGGGGATTGAACCGCGGTCCCTGTGCTTTGTTAAGCTTGTTCTAAGCAGGTGCTTTAGACCACTGAGCCATCTCACCAGCCCAGAAATTTCAAACTTCAAAGATTAAGAAATTATCCAGTAAGTAGCAGAGTGGGAAAAACCAAGTTATTGACAATTTTTTTTAAAAAGCCAACTGGCAATTTAAACATATGTAGACAAAGATGAAAAAAAAAAAGTTGGGCATTCTCATGTATACATAGCAGGAACACAAATTATTAAATGTAGTTTACTACAGTAAATTTGCTAAGCCTAAGGCAGGCATGGTAGCACACACCTATATTACCAGTACTCAAGAGGCCAAGGCAGGAGGACTGCTACAAATGTAAGGCCAGCCTGGACTCCATAATGATTTCAAGGCCAGCCTGGACTCCATAGTGAGGCCCTGTCTCAAAACAAACAAAAACCAAAATCAATTATGAAAAATCATGCCTGTAATCCCAGCCCTTAGAAGGTTAAGGCACAATCATTATGAGTTCGGGGCCAGTTTGGGCTACATAGCTACCCTGAGTAGCTGTGACTATACAATGCCAGGCTGAGCTGCAGAGACCCTGTCTCAAAAAAAAAAGTTAATGGCTGTAAAAAGAGAGGCTTTATATATATATTTTTTAACTTACTGAAAAAAGTATAAATAAAACCCATACATTATATAGTCACAGCTACTCAGGAAGCTGAGGTGGATTGTTTCAGCTCACAAGTTTGAAATTATCCTGGGCAACATAGCAAGACATTATCTCAAAAACAGGAAGAAAAACTTAAAAAAAAAAAAAGACCTAATTTGACTGAATTTTCAAACACCATTTGCATTTACTGAAAGGATGGGCTAAAATCTACTGCCTTGCTGTCTATTTTCTATTTGTCTTGCCTGTGCTTCCTACCTTATTTCCTCTTCCATGCATTTTTTTTTTGGATTAAATGAATGTGCTATGTAAATCAATTCCACTACTTATTAGCTATACCGGTTTGTTGGCTCTACCTGTTTATTAACTATACCTGTTTTTGGAGTGGTTGCTCTAGATTTTATGTTTAACTTATCAGTCTTCTATAGTACACCATGAGAGAAAGAGACAGATAGAATACAATGACTTCTATATCCCCCTATCTTCTGTGCTATTACAGACCATCACCACTAATCCCAAGAACACGTCCGGTATCCCCAAAATTGTGTAAGAATTTTTCATGAACAGAGGCACCACTGTAATGAAACTTGGTGTGGCTTCCTTTACGTTTATTCTTGCAATCTGTTGAGCTTCTTGAATCTGTATTTGTAAATTCACTGAACTTAACGAATTTCTTATCATTAGTTTAAAAAGTTTTCTGGGGTTGTTTTGTTTTTCTTGGTACTGGAAATCAAACTCAGGACCTCACATCTGCCAGGCAGGCAGTGTGCCACTGAGCCACATCCCCAGCCCCTAAAAAGTTTTTTCTATCCTTTACCATTCTTTTCTGGGCCTTCAAATACATGAATATTAGATTATTCTTGTCCCTATTGCCTCTGTCATAGTCACCGAACCTCTAATTAATTTTGCTATTTTTTTCTGTCTCTTATTTTAAGAGTTTCTATTGCTATCTTCAAGTTCACCACCTTGCACTTAGTTAACGCCCACTGTTGACCCATCAGTGCATTTTCAATCTCATTTCCAATTTTACAAGAGCTGTTTATTTTACATTTTTTCCTTTCTTCTTGTCAAGATAAAACATTTTTTAAGGTAAGAATTTTTTACTTCTTAAACAAAAAGAGGGCTGGTGAGATGGCTCAGCGGTCTAAAGCACCTACTTAGAACAAGCTTAGCAAAGCACAGGGACCACGGTTCAATCCCCCAGCACCACATGCCAGCCAGCCCCGCCCCCTGGTGGGCTGAGCTGGCCACACACACACACACACACAAATAAATAATTTTTTTAAAAAAGAACATTTTAATACCTCTCTTAATTCTATCATTCCTATCATCTTCCTCTTGCTTTTAAGTCACATTTTCCTAGTTCTTTGCATGCTGGTAATTTTGCATTGAATGGCAAACTCTGAGTTTTATTTCTTGGGTGCTGGATTTTGCTGTCGTCCTTTAAATAGTGTTAAGATTCTGTTCTGCCACACTGTAAAGTATCTTATAACCAGATGGCTCCTTCAAGATTGCTTTTGTACTGTGAGGGTGGGTGCAGCAGCTTTTAATTTAGGGCTAACATAGCCTTGTTAAAGGACAATGCCATTCTGCTACCCTGTAAATATACACAGTGTGGGTTTTAGTTTTGGTTTTTTCCTGGCTACAGGAACACTATTTCCAGCTGCAGAAGTTGTAGGAATCATTCAGTCTATTGCTTTTCTCTAGCCTACAGTGGTTTTGTCTTATGCATACATAGATCTCGGCTCAACTAGACTGAGAGACCCCTCTGCATACCTCTGGAGCTCTCTCTGTCCATCTATCCTCCTCCTCTCAGGTAATCTGCTCTCAAGTTAGGGCTGCCCCCACCTACCCCTTCACTCCCCCAAAAACTTTCCTTCTGGGTCCTCAGGTCAACAAGACCACTAGATGGTTTCAGTTCCCCATCACTATGCTAGACCCTGCAGGGACCCCAAATAATAGAGCCACCAGAGTTCATCAAGTTTCCTTTTTTCTAGTAATCACAGCCCATTGTGTCTGTTACCCGGTGTCTGTAAACAGCTATTTCATACACTGTCTAGCTTTCTACTCTCTCAATTACTAAGGTAGATCTAGCCCTTATTACTGCATCACTGCTGCACAGAGTAAGATTATTAAGATGTCAACTAGCAGTTCTTCAATTTCATATCTAAAGGATTTGCCCCAAACCAACTCTGCCTATGTAACATCTAAAATGTTTTCACTTTTTTTTAGAATTTGCTCAACTCTTGATTTGACACTAATTTCTTATAATTCTCCTACCCCTCTGATTATAATTAAATACCATATGTAACTGGCCTGTCATTCTTCATTCAGGAATAAAACACAGTACAGGGAACACAAACTACAAAATGTAATCAGCTACATGTTAAAAC